GGGGTTCAGGCTGTGTGCGCCTCCTTCCCCGCAGGTGGTTGGAGGTCCGCTGCGGCCGCCGACCCTCTGCCCACGGGTTGTTGAGGGGCCGTTTCAAGTCGCCTTGTCTTCCAAGTGAGAAAAGTTGGAGAGGAAGTAGGGTGCGTGGGCAGAGCTTGCTCCACAGTGAACACTGGGGTGGGTGCCCGGGCATCAGAAAGTGCGGCGCACCCGAGAGGAACCCGGGCGAGGAAGGGCCTCGCCCAGCGACCCCGGGGCTGGGCCGGACCCCGCTCCCCGGGGATGTGTTCCGAGAACCCGGCTAGGAAACCTCTTCCCCCGAGAACCAGGAAGTGAGGCCAGCACCCGGCAGAGATGCTCGGACGTGCAAAGCATTGCTTCTCCAGGGGAGTCGAATTAGCTCGTTTCTCCTGCTTCCAAGCTTCCAGGAAATTAGAAAGTCGAGAGGGGTTGTGGGGATCAGGTAAACTGGGTTTTTTGTTTTGTTTTTTAGGAATTCTAGCACATTAACTTGTTTTACTTTTCACATAGTACCTAAAACCCTCTGTGTTTATTTATTTATTTATTTATTTATTTATAAGCAATATGTCCCATTGCACTTCCATTACTCTAAAGTACACTAAAGTAAAATCTTGAACACTTTGAAAAAGGTGATATTTAAAAAACTTAGTTTTGCACAGATCACTTATTTTCACTATTGGTGATGCAGTAAAGCAAATGAAAGAACCACCAGAAAGTTCATTTTCAAGAGATAACCACAGTTAACATTTTGGTGCATATTCTTCCAAATATCTGTTAGGGGAGATATATGAATGTATATTTAAAGGAAAATTTTAAATTTTGAGATTTAAAACTTTAAGATATATATATGTGTGTGAAGGGCTTGTTAGAAAGCCTTCCTTTTTCTGACATCCCTATGTCATCACCTCTGCTAGAAATCTGGGTGCTGTAGAGCTGATTTTAAGATAGACTGTTTTTATTCTCAATTCCCTGTGTCTTAGCTCAAGCTTTTAGGATTACTAAGCAGCTCTACTTTTATGAGCT